TATGTATATGTGTGTGTGTATGTATATATAAAATTCAAAGAACCCAGCTGTTTCTAAAAAAGAGTGAATGACATTTTACATTTATAGTCAGGCTAAGACGTGAGAAATTATTAAGAGACAAACTAACACATTAGGTCTCATGCAAGAACCATTCATACAAACAGTTTGAAGGTTGTGGACTTCAGTTGAACAGCTTTTCCTTTTCTATAGACTAACAAAAGACACAGCACGGTTCAAAGATGAGCTGGACATTATGAAGTTCATCTGTAAAGACTTCTGGACTTGTGTTTTCAAGAAGCAAATCGACAATCTTCGAACCAATCACCAGGTAACACTGTGCTCTCTGTCGGTTTCATACAGTAGGTCATCACTGACATAACATGCGAGCTAGGGTTGGACCCTAATGTTTGAATATTCAGATATTTGTGGGGTGGTTAGGCATTCAGTTTTTACATTTTGGGATTTGGATATATATTTTTTATATGTATTAATGTAACAGTAGAGAAATTATGAATAAATATTGTGGCCAAACGTGGCATTACGTCTGTCATGATGCTATGAGGCCCAAAAGACTTTTCCTCATTGACTTACATGGCAAAAGAGATGTCAGTGGATACATTTTCTTAAGCGTCACAAGCCCCCCAGAATGACTTGTTTTACTATCAGGATTTGATCCCTTCAGTCCAATAACATTTAGAAAGTCTAAGAAAGAGCTGCATGAGTAAATCATTTTATCCCCAGTCAAGTTGATTGTTTGTTGGCCCTGTTTAACAGCTCAGTGCCAGATGTACACCTCCACTGCTATGTTAGCTTGCATTAATGAGGCAGACACTGAACAGACCATTTGCTTGAAGGAGAGTGGCAGATGGTCCTTTAGCGCTGCGTCTAACCTGTGAAATGCATGTATGTAATGCTGTGTTTTTTGCCTGTCACCAGCTCTACTGCTGAATGCTGCATTGATGTCTGTCAGTGCTCATGCTGTTTTCATGTGTTTCAGGGCATCTATGTCCTCCAGGACAACAAGTTCCGATTACTGAGTCAGCTGTCAGCTGGTAAACAGTACCTGGAACATGCCCCAAAGGTGCTTACTATGATTTCATTAGACTTAATGACTCTTTAGTGGTCTGTTGCATAAGGCTCTCTTTCCTCTCACACAGTGTTTCTTTTAGTGAGGCAGCTGATACCAGGCCAGCAGGGTGTGTGTATATGTATATGTATGTGA